GTTGTGGCGTATGTCGGAGCAGTGTTTCTGTTCTCACGAAGCTCAGTTCGTTTTTGTTTAGCTCCTTTCGTGTTGGGCAGGATCCGCTAACTGCTACGTGCGATCCCTCGCAAGCATGTTGCACTTGGCGAAGAAGTGACCTTCGCCAGCGCAACGGGAGCATCTTTGTATGTGTGGGCATGTGTGTTTATTGTGTCCGTATCTGTAGCAGTTCAGGCATTGTTCCAGATGAATAAAGCACTCTGGTTCTAAGTTGTAACTTGGGACCGATGTATTAAACATCATGAGTCCCCTCGAGAGAATCCTCTGTGCTTCCTCTGGGGCAGAGAAACGGATCTTGACGATCCGTGACTCGGGTGGCTTGTAAACGTCAAGAACAGTGACACCGTTCTTGGCGGCAACCTCCTGTGAGATCGACTCACACGATCGTGGGAGGATCGTCCTGTCGAATCTTTTAGCCACGATCGTGCATTTCGCCATCGTCTCGGGGGAGGGAACTGGTGAAAATCCGTGATCTGCGAGTTTCCTTTGGCCTTCGGCCGAAAGGAAGGGGGTCAAGTGCTCGGGTTTGGCTACTGTCACCTTGAAGCCATTGTGTACTTTATAGAGGTGGGTGACTGCCACCTCGGTGAGGGTGAATATTCTCTGGAGAGCCACCTCACAAGAGATGGGCTCTCCAGAGTAGGCTAATTTGATCTGATGTCCCATGGATCAGGTCATAGCGTCGGGTGATGATGAAGGGAAAAAGGGAGGCTAGCAGAGCTAATTTTGACTGGATGTGGAAAATGCGGAATGGTCTCAAAAAAGAGGAGCACACCAGGCACCCAGCAGTCTCTGTGTGTTAGGGACGGTCGGGGTCGGGACCCTGCCGGACGGGCGAGAGCCCTTATGAGTCCGGCCGTCACCTCGCAGCGAAACCACTGGGTAACAGGTGCGTCGTGATTTCAATTGCAAGCACTCTGGCCTGTAATTGAAATCACTAGCTCAGGCAAAGTGTGGCGTGACTACACCCAAAGTAGCACACCAAGGGCCACGTGTCGTGTCAGGTCCGTCGTGGGGAGGTGTCAACAATCTCTCTATGTATCACCCACGAGAAACTGCACAAACCTTGGACCTAGAGATCCAGGTATGCCCATAAATGGGTGGTGGCAGTGACGCTACTTTCATACACTCTAATGCGAGATATAATTGTATTCGAAGTTCACTACACCACCCCCACCCCACCCCCGCCCAGGAAAACAAAGAATCCTCCAAGTGTTCACGGCAGGAGAGAGCGCGTCCGTATGCCGTTCTTACGCACAAGAAGCACTGTACCTCTAGTCACTTCAGTGAAAATAAACCTCAAACATACCTAAGCAGAGGAGGGGACGGGGTGAGGGTCGTCGATATCAGTGGAGCGGTTTGCGGGAGCGGGAGCGCCGGAGAGGTTTGCGTGAGCACGAGCTATGCGACGGCCGATCGCAGGGTATTTCAGAGGGTAGAACTTCGTGTTCACGTAATAGTTTCAAGCTAGCATCATCGTCTTCAAAATATTTTTTTATAGATAGGAATGGCTTGATACGATATCCTATACACACGGAAGTCATGGCGAGACTTATTTGAAAATGGAATTTCATAGCTTCTATTTTAGCTAATGTTCATTCATTGGCTGTTTTCTTCGTGAATTCTTTACCTCTTGGCTATTTAATTAACCGCCAAACAGTTGACCAATGAAATCGTGACACTGGCCGGGACGTCGCAAGCAAGATAACAGAAACAGTGCGGGTACGCATGCGCAGTGGAGAATTTGTCAGTATTCCCGCAGCTCCCGTGTGAATCTTACCTGGTGTTATTATTTTTTTTTAATCAAATAACTTCGTTATTGTTAATTTGCGAGACAAGTTTATTTAATGAAAAGTGATTGCTAATTAAATATCTTCAAGGCTATAAGGTTAGTTATGGTCGATTCAATGGTGACGCCTTTTTTCAATAATACCCATATACCCATTCAAGGACATTCTGGTGATACAGAAGAGTGTTATGGTAAACAAATGGCAAACGAAGGCGTCCTCAGTAAACTGCGGTAAATTGAGTACTTGAGGAATTTCATTTAATTTAAACAGTGAGACTGAATACAGTAGTTGTTGAGTACAGCAGAATCCTTTTTCTTCTTCGTCTTCTTCCTCTTCTTCTTCGTTTTCATCTTCGTCGTCATCGTCTTCTTCATCTTCGTCGTCATCGTCTTCATCTTCGTCGCCATCGTCTTCTTCATCTTCATCGACATCGTCTTCTTCATCTTCGTCGCCATCGTCTTCTTCATCTTCATCGTCATCGTCTTCTTCATCTTCGTCGTCATCGTCTTTGTCGTCGTCGTCTTCGTCTTCGTCTTTTCCGTCTTTGTCTTCGTCTTCTTCATCTTCGTCGTCGTCCTCTCTGTCGTCGTCGTCTTCGTCTTCGTCTTTTTCGTCTATGTCTTCGTCTTCTTCACCTTCGTCTTTTTTATTCTTATTCTTCTGCTTTCTCCTCTTCCTCCGCCTTTTTACCGACTTCTCCTCTGCCTCTTCCTTCTTTCCCTCCTCCCCCTCTTCCTCTTCCTTCTATGCTTTCTATTCTTCCTCCTTTCTTTCATTTTCCTGCTCCTGCTTCTCATTTTCTTTCTCCTCCTTGTCCTTTCCCTCCTCCTATACAAGGGAAACATATTATATACTGAATATTATTCCATATGTAGGGAGGGGAGAGGGGGTCCGGAAAGGGACAAGTTAGATAAAAACACAAGAACGAATAATCTACTTAGTAGAAAGAAATTAACGAGTTGATATGTACTGGGACTGTAAGCTGTGGGAAAGAGTTTCTGTGCCTCATCTGTTAGAGTAACTCACCTAGTGGCAACACTAAACTCGTAGTAAACATATTTAATTTTTTTGCCTCTCTCTCTCTCTCTCTCTCTCTCTCTCTCTCTCTCTCTCTCTCTCTCTCTCTCTCTCTCTCTCTCTCTCTCTCTCTCTCTCTCTCTCTCTCTCTGCCTAGCTCTCCCCCCTCTCTCTCTAACTAACTAGCTCTCTCCCTCTCTGTATCTAGCTCTTTCCTTCTCTGTCTATCTACTAGCTCTCTCTCTATCTATCAAGCTCTCTTCCTTTTTCTCTATCTATCTAGCTCTCTTCCTCTCTCTCTATCTATCTAGCTGTCTCCCTCTCTCTCTATTTAACTAGCTCTCTCCCTCTCTCTATTTAACTAGGCTCTCCCCCTCTCTATCTAGCTTTCTCCCTCTCTATCTAGTTCTCTCCCTCTCTCTATCTCTCTTCATCTCTCTATCTAGCTAGCTCTCTCCCTCACTCTTTATCTATCTATCTAGCTCTCCATCTCTCTTTATCTATCTATTTAGCTCTCTCCCTCTCTATCTATCTAGCTCTCTTCCTCTCCCTCTATCTAGCTAGCTCTCTTCCTCTCTCTCTATCTATCCAGGTCTCTCTCTCTCTCTCTCTATCTATCTATCTAGCTCTCTCCCTCCCTCCCCTCCCCCCTCTCTAGCTCTCTCCCTCTAATGAAGGGGAAGGGAATAATGTCATATATATATATATATATATATATATATATATATATATATAATATATATATATGGATAGAGAGTATGAGTAATTCTAATAAGACTGGTCCGGAACCCTTCCGAAAGCCACGCCCTAACCGGTGTGGACTTCCAATCATGGTGGCGTGCCCATGGCGTGCCCTGGCCACGCCCTTAAGTTCATGGCCTCTGACTATCACCTAAACCCATACAAACGCTACTTCGGGTTACGTCTCCGCTCGAACCCGGCTTCCTCCGTGGGGGCCATCACTCCTGGCCCCTGCCGGGCTACCCCCTACCCGGGGCTTCTGCACAAGCATGACGCTTCCATTTGCAACGACCGTCCACGTTACCAGCTACCAACCACCTACTAAATACACATTGCAAGCAGAGCGTGCCTTTCCATATACGACCAAGTGAAGGAACTGTTTATAATATTTATATTAATTATTACAGGTCAGGATAATCAATTTACCGTTTGATAGATGAAATGTAAATATACAGTATGTCGACATATAAAAACCTTTAAAGGTAAACATTATCTTCAGCGGTACTGTCCGATAGTGGTTTGTATAGCTTACCTGTACTCATGCTTTTAGTTTTCAGGATCTTCAAACACAAATGACATCAGATATCCCCTTAACACCGTTAAATGACATCAGATATCCCCTTAACACCGTCAAAGTAAGCAATTACGCATCTTCACAAAACTCCTGCTACGAGGGCAAACCCCTGATTTACGTTAACCGTTGGAATGAAAATAGGTAATATTTAATATACGTTGCTGAGTCAAGGTATATCCAATCGCATAATACAGCATGCGCTACCGTTCTTAATTGACGAGTAAAAAATATTAACACAATAATGCTCCTTATGACCAATCATCATTTGCATCAACGACAATAAAATAAAGGCTAACGCAACAACGATTCAAGTGACTAAGATCAACAAAAATTAACATAAAACAAAAACGCTTATATAAAAGTAGGCTTGCAATTGTAGCCTGGCCGTAGCTTGTTAATTGTTACAGTTATCAAAAGCTTAGTTAATTAATGATTATCAATGAATATGATTTTAATCTTAGGTGTAACAGCTGAGTAATAAATACACATCATAATATTTTTCTCTTTACTTTTACCTCTGAGGAGTATATTTTCGAGTCGGTTAAGGACTGCGTCATGATGTGGATGCAGCTCGAAACATCTCCACCAGTCTTATGTTACATGCAAAACAACATTATTGATTAAACGTTTGTTTACTACAACTACCACTACTGTCAAGGTGTTGCCAACTAGCCATTTCGTGGGTTATTTTACCATAGGGGGTACAGAAACTCCTGTGATTCCTGTCTGCAACAATACCAGGAGCAGCTGTGTTTCTATATTGAGGGAAAGAGAGGCAACAGGAGGAGGAGCCTATCAAGAAAAGTTTTGTTATAAATGGAAATAACAAAACAGAATTCAAATATACTTCTTTTATTTTGCACACATAACTCTTACAGCACAGTCCTGTAATATATATATTTTTTAATGTGCTTGAAATACTGAATGTAACATTTTGGTAAAAGCTACACACTATAGAGACAAATATTGTACAAAGGCAAAAATATTACATTTTGATATTTTGCTACATATTACATATAGAATAATGCAGAGTACCACACAAATCATATAGAGAATAATGCACAGTAAAATTCAGTAAAAACACTCTTATGACAGAAAGAAACAGAGGATGAGACAGTGAGGTAACAGATAAAACGGAAGAGAGGATTTTGTTGATGTAAAATAAACTCCGTTGCAGGTATGTCATTGACTACTGTATAAAATACCCACAAAGATTTTTTTTAGAAATTAACTTTAAGCACAATTTACATAACAAAAATTTATTTTGCTAGATTTCCACATTAATAACCTTTCCTTTGATTCGAATAAAGGATATAATACCTATAATAATAGCAATAATAAACAGTAAATACACACATATTGATAATCTAAAAATGCGACTTTCTTTCCCCATTTTATATATAAAAAAGATGTCAAGAGGTTCTTAAAAATAAATATTAGGACAATCTACACTGAAAATGGAAGACTTAGATATTCTCTTCAATGCCAATGACACTTTTGGCATGATCTTTACAAGAAATATTACCTTTAATACATACATATACATATATCTCTAAATTGCTGTTGTTACTCAAAGTCATATATCTTTAATGAGGTCATCCTATCATCAGATTGGCTTATGATGTTATAAGCACTTACATAATGTGACAGATTCAGATATTTTAGGTTATATGATTTTTTTCTTGTAGCAATAAAAAACGCTAAGAACTCGAAACACTGCTTGACTTGAAGCATGCTTTATTCATAGTTCTGTAATTTTCTAAGGCAAAGTTATTTATTCTGCTATTATTTATTAATAGAAAAAAACTCAGGTCATGTAAGGTCTTGGTTTCTTATTCATTCAATTGCTAAAGTGGCATTCCTTTGTACTTTGGCACTTTATTCTGAGCAAATACTTCATGTTGGATGCAGTTCTGTATGCTTCTATGTCAAATGGTTTTACTTGTTTACAATTCATGAAGGTCAAATTAACTACAGACAAAAGACCATTTCAGTGATGTGCCAGGACATTTCTAGCAAGCACCATATAACTTAGAGGGCCACCAAATACTATTTCATCACATTTTGCGCGATAGCAGATTTTTGTGAAGGCAACAAAATGCTCACTGATACAAATGACATAAGGAAAGAAACAAGGGGACTTGGGAAGAAATACTTCCACTAGACAATTTAATTTTATTTCCTTCAATAAAATTAACTGTCTGACATATAAAGCCCTTTGTTTTTTTACTGAACTCCATTATGGGGTACTTATAAAGACAGCAATAAATACTCTGTGTATCATAAAGTAGTATATGTAGGTGTTAGAATTAGCACCATTGAAAAGTGCAACTCAAATGTAAGATTCATTCATGGAAAGAGGCAACTGCTATTCAAACTAATGAAGATAACCATTCCGTCAATTTAATAACCAATTAGATGCTGGTTCCATATTTTTTTTTACTGTAGTTTGCTTCATAAAGTGCTTTATGTATGTTATTTGTCTTCCTTTTCTTTTACCTTGTTTTTTCTATACATTTGTCTGTTTCTTTTTTGTTTTAAGTTTCAAACTTATATTTTGTTTTCAATATCATGCATTCTTCAAACACTTGTAACTTACATTACTTTTATACACTTTGTATTTGGCATATAGTGGAAATAATTATTACTTTTATTGTCATTGTGATCAGTATTACTGCTATTATTAGTTGCAATATTTAAATGTAAGGGAGTGATATGGAAAAACAGATGAAAAAAATACAACTCTTCTCACATTATTTTCAATATATTTTTTCAAATATAGCTAACCTGATGATAAAAAAATATTCATTTGTAACAGCTGATGTAATATAGATCTATATTACAAAATTTAAAACATGAATTCCTGAAATTCACGATTTTCCAAAACTGATAACAATAAGATTATGCATATTACACTGAGTAAGACTGAGTTGTATTGTTCCATAGTACTTTTGTTTTCTGCAACAAGAAGCCTGATAAGAAACAATAGCAAAGTAAATAAAGAAAGTTATCTATACCCTGCACTTGATTTTTATATTCAGTGATATCTGTAGTAGCTGCATGCTTATTTACTATTCATGTTTAATGTAAAGAAGAACACATTGCAATAATTCCAAGAAAAGAATCACTACTTATATTTCTGAAATAGCATTAAGATACTTCTTGCATAACAATCATCATAATCCAAGGTAGATAACAAACACCTAGTTGGACACCAGATTCAAAATGGAAAAAAACAATAACAAAGTAAATAAAGAAAGTTATCTATAACCTGCACTTGATTTTTATATTCAGTGATATCTGTAGTAGCTGCATGCTTATTTACTATCCATGTTTAATGTAAAGAAGAATACATTACAATTATTCCAAGAAAAGAATCACTACTTATATTTCTGAAATAGCATTAAGATACTTCTTGCATAACAATCATCATAATCCAAGGTAGATAACAAACACCTAATTGGACACCAGATTCAAAATGGAAAAAACTTAAGTGTTTACATGATACCTCAGAAAAAAATCTACCAATCCTCACTGGACATGAGCTAAGCAAAAACCAGTCCTTTCAGTACGAAAAAATAAGACTTTGAAGACAAATAATATTTCCATCTCCTCTTATATTTCTATTAAAAGGTATCTACATTTTTTTTAATGAGATATGAATCTTCTTTTATGTCTGTCAAAACAACTAAGCCTAGATATTATGAACATGTTTGAGGTAATCTGTATAAGAGCTGATACAGCTTAAATTACTTCCTACTTATTTATTTATTCATTTTGTTTCCAAAAGTAAAAAAGAAAAACCTATACATATCATTACTAACATCCTACAGGGAAAGATTGCAATATAAAGTCCTCATCAACATGGTACACTTTTACACCTCTGGGGTTCCTTGTGGCTTCTGCTTCTCTGGTCCATTGGTCATCTTGAGCTGCTGCTGCAAGTCCTTACTGCGACCCTGGAACCCATCCATGGAAATGTGTCCTCCGCATGCCTTGTAGATTCGATAAGCCCCCTTGAATGGAAGGATGCTGTGGAAACGTCAGAAAGTTTTCATTATGGGTTTAGGTATGTTGGTTTTTTGCCTTTTTAGTCTTTATTTGCTATGACTAAAAAAGGTTAAGGGGGATCTTCTACAACTGCCCTACTGTCTCAGTTCTGATACAAGGCTGGGATTGATTTTAACGTTAGTTTTTGTTAATAACTCTAAACTGCATTGACAGATTTACAATGTTATTTCACAATAAAACCACAGGCAACTTATACTTGCATAGAAAGCCAACCACAGGCAAATTATACTTGCATAGAAAGCCATCCAGTGTAAAATAGTGATCATTTAGAATAGCAGAGGAAGCAAAGAAGCTAGGATTAGAATTTCCAAGAAGTAGGATAATTTGTTTTACAGAAAACTGTAAAGGAAACATGAAAACTTACATATTTATATATACATACCCATGTGTGTGTGTGTGTGTGTGTGTGTGTGTGTGTGTGTGTGTGTGTGTGTGTGTGTGTGTGTGTGTGTGTGTGTGTGTGTGTGTGTGTGTGTGTGTGTGTGTGTGTGTGTGTGTGTGTGTGTGTGTGTGTGTGTGTGTGTGTGTGTGTGTGTGTGTGTGTGTGTGTGTGTGTGTGTGTGTGTGTGTGTGTGTGTGTGTGTGTGTGTGTGTGTGTGTGTGTGTGTGTGTGTGTGTGTGTGTGTGTGTGTGTGTTATTATTAATTATTAATTTTTTTCTTTTTCAATAAGGCAGTGTCTAATTAGGCATTAATTCAATGGCAACAATACAAATGTTAATCTGCAATACCTTATAGATAAGTAAATGATATATTGCATTGAAAGACTCTTTGATTTTTCAGTGAATAGTAAGTAACTCCCTTGACCTGATGAACCTCATTCATGACTTTACAGGTAGGAGACCATAAGCCAGGTGCATGGCTTTGCTCATATTCCACATATGAATATGTCATAGTATGACAGTAAATCTCTTAATTAGTATAAGTTGCCGGTCACATAATCAGGTATACTGGATCATATAACCCAAACCACATGGTATGCTGTGCTTCTCCATTGTGGCCCTGGCTTTACATTGACTATCTCCCACACCAAGCCTAGCCCAGCACCTGAGAGATATCATGTACCCAGGAAGAACATGAATAAACACTTCTTTTTGTTCCAATTTTTTATGCATACTTTCTATGTGTTCATCAGGTGTGAAACTTCACAGGCCAAGGAAGAGGCCGTTCTTCATCCATGGATCTGGTTTGCTGCCATGAAGTTAACATCAGGCTAAGAGGGTTAAGAGCCAAAAAGTTGCAAAATATGCCACTTTATCATTTCTGAGTGTAAATCACTGGTTCTCAACCTTTACAGTCTTGCAACTCATTAAAAATATATCCTGGACTTCAGCAGCACACCAACTCTTTCCTTCATTAATAGAAAAATATAAATGCATTATACATATACCCTTGAAAATATATAAACTTCTATAGATTAGTAAGAAAAGTTAAGCTAGGTTAACTTGGATTTTAACTTTCTACAATTTCCAACTGTCTCAAACTACAAAGGCAGTAGCTTCAAAGGCAAGAAATAGGAATCTGCAAAACATTATGCAACATCTTTTGAAGTAATCATAACATTTGTGTTGCAACAATATAGGTTGAAAACCACAGGCTTAAACCCAAGAGGAAGGGAGGAAAGGAGAGAGAAAGAGAGACAGGGAGGGAGAGAGAGAAAAAGAAGAGATAGAGAGAAGATAAGAAAATGGGGAGAGGGAGGAAAGGGGAAAGAAAGAGAGACAGGGAGGGAGAAGGGGAAAAAGATAGAAACAGAGATAGAAACAAAAACAGGGACAGAGAGAAGAAAGCAAAAAGGGGGAGAGATTACATGTGAGCCTTACTGCTAACATGCATTTTTTTTAAGTATATAATAAAATAATTTCTTAACTCACTCCCTTCAACCACAAGTACTGTCACCAACAACTTCCACCAGTCATAACCGTCCATCATCACTTAATCAACATCAGCTATCCCTTCTACCAATCACCAGTACCTGTTACTACCATATACTCTCCCTTCTACCAGCCACCACCAACTTCCACCTCCAACCACCACCAAGCATCACCCACTACAAACCTTGACACCTGTGAGAGGGTTATTTTAGTCGCTTTTCCTGCGTCCCACAAACTCATCCATGGAAGAGCTAATTCCTGTGATTCTCCCCAGAAGCACAAGGGCCTTCTGGGGCAGGATGCTGGAAAGATAAGGCATGTCTGCAACCACATTCTTTTGAAGCTGTGCTCCCTAATCACCATGGTTAGTGTCATGCTTCTAGAATGTTAAGGCTTCAAGATTTCTAATGCTAGATGAAGAAAAAAACTATATATAAATATATATACACATACCCTAACATACAGATTGATATCTTAGTGATTTCTTAAAAGATGTTATTAGATCTATCACTCAAGTTGATTCTGTTTAACTATTTAATAGTCATGTTAGATCTATCACTCAAGTTGATTCTGTTAACTATTTAATAGTCATGTATGTGTTTAAAGCAGGAAATCAGCTATGTTTGGAAACCTCATTTACAAGACTATTTAAATTATTGAAAGAAGGCTGCAAAGCACAATTCCAAATGACAAGAAAGCCAGCATGCGAAACCACCACCCCAGTAGTTTCCACTTATGCTTTAAAAAAATACAAACAAGTTACTAACCCATAATATTATACAATTTCTTATATATTTCTTATATTTTGTCCTCTAGCACTCTAGGATACCATCCTTCCCTACATAAAGGTTACCACAGTCTACAAGAATGAAAGTTAGTTGGTAGAATAATGTTGCACACAACAATTAAGTTGTTGCTCCTCTACTTTTTCAAGCTATAAAGCCTAATACAAGAAAATGGCCTTGTCATTATATCATCTGCATATATTTCACGTTGGTTAGTA